TACGAGCCGTTTATGCTACTTGTGTCAAGAAGACTATTGGGTGAAAATGGCCCTTTTATTAGAATTCCTTAGAAAATCCTGACTGCACTTAACCTTGCCTTGAAAAAATTGTTTTATTTTGTTAGAGAATAATTAGTTATTCTCAAGATGCTCTGCATTCCTGTGCGTGGTTGGTTGGGTGCAAATTCATTAGTTTACAATGAGTGCAAGTGGAGGCCAGATCAGAGAATGGTCCGAATGCGAGTTGTGATTGGATCCCCGAAGATTCAACGTTAGATTGTTAGGGGTAGGACGATATGTGGATCCGCCAAGCCCAATGGGTGGTCGTTACACAGTGCTCCTTATTTAAGCCCAAATGAGATGAACACAAGTGAAGGATAAAGGAGAAATAAGTAAAACCGAAATCAATTCACATGGGTGACACTTTAGGAAATGGAAATGCTGACAGAATTTCTGTCAGTCATGTCTAGTTGCCAGGTGAGTGTAAAATTGCAAAAAATGTGACATGTTCCTGTCAACAATTTGCGACTCACAGATGAGTCCCTTTCATGAGGCTTACTAAGCAGAAAACAATCCAGTAAATGCATCGTTAGGCATTTGTCAAGAGCCGCAGCATAAAGTCTGATTCAGGAGTTGGTAATACGGGCAAATGAACTCCTGGATTGCGTTAGACCCTGGTGTTATCCCATCCTTTGATAAATAAGTCAGTAACCTGTTTCAATGTGGAATTTTGTCACTGCGTTGTGTTGATGTAATCGTAATGGAAGAGGACAGCAGAGATAGTCACCAAGCTCAAGTATTTTGGAAAATGAATATGACTTTAGTGGAGAAATCTGCAACCCTAAAATTGTGATTATGACTAGTGCTGATGACCACTAATTTCGTGTTGCCTCTTATCAGACAGCTTCAAGTGATGAGGCAGTCAGTCTTGAGGCTAAACTCGACTGAATGCCTCATTCATTAGCAGAACACAACTAAGCTTGTTTGAAGTACAAATAGTCTGGGTACGGGGAAGAGGAAAGTGCTCCGGTCCTAAAACGCTAATTGATTGGTGATAATCGGAACGATGGAAAAGTGGTACAATTTATAACCTGGAAGTTTCTTTTTGTTTTTATTGAGAGAACCAAAATTTGGTGCAGAGCCATGTCAAATTATAATTCCATTGATGAGCTCATCCATATTTATGCTCGATGCCAGAACATCGAATCTAAATCTACAAGTGCTGAGTGCCACTTTGGTCAACTGGTTGACCGTGCCCAAATAGCTGTCGACAAATTGCATTTTGCTTGCAATCTTAAGGATTTACGAAACAGCGGTGAAATCTGTTGCAAAAGTGATGCATTCTATTCCAACGTTATTTTTTTATTTGAGTGTGAGGGAGTGACACTGAATACACCGATGTGTCAAGACTCCATTGTAGACGATTTGCAATATTGCTAGACCTCGACAGAGATGTGTTTAAGAGTGGCAAATTAAACGCTTATATATTAATGGTTTGTTCAGTCTTGCAGAAAACTTTTACCATCATCTAATGTGGTACCATTTCTAAACCATACAACAAACTCCACAATTCAATGAGCATGCATAACAAAAATGGGTGTTTTACGGTTTGCAGCCGCTGTTTGCGATTATCTCAAGGTAAGTGGCAAGTTTTGCAAACAGTGAAACTGCCTGGAATCAACCATGCCTTAAAAACTAAACCAGCCTTTAATCATTTTTGGGCATTAATGAGCCTTTTACTGACATTCATTTTCCTGCTTCTGCATCATGCCACCATGGCATTCCCAGTAAGGCTTATACCTTAAAGAATGGCAAATGCCACTCTGTTCGTCTAGTGCAGAAGGCTTGAATAACCCACTTGTTTGTACACAGATAAGGATGAACAGTTTTGCGAGTTCTTGGCAATTTCCACCATCGCCTGCTGATCGAGCATCATCGAGAGTGCTTTCTTACACATT